CTTAAGATAGAACTTACTTCCACTTTTTGATTTCTTGGTGCTGTCCACTGTATCCACTGCTATCCTTTTACAGGGCTGAAAACAATATTTATCGACATAATTTACGAGATATGAATAACGGTGAAAATTTAGATTGTGGGTTATATGACCCAAGAGTCATGCAGGTGGTTAGCAGTATTTCATAGGAACCTGCAAAGTCCATCTTCAGGGCAGAACATAATGCAGCCAGGATGTAGGTACGCTAAAGAAGAAAGGTTATCAAACATGTTCAAGAGAGTCGATCAGAGCAATTGATCAAGGAAAGGAGAGAGAACCCTATCTGGGCCCAGAAAAAGACAAGGTCCTTCATAGGGTGTTCCTATGACTGGCCATTCATATACAGTACCAAAGCAGGATGATCAACTACAGCTATAAGATGTCATCTATTTTACTTACATATCACACATTTGCAGAAAAAAAAAGCTGGCACAATAAATGTATGAGAACTGAACCAATGTATCCCTATTATAAAATACTTACATCTGAACCCCATGAAGAAATATTCTTTTTGGAAATCAAATCCATAACATCACCATCCTTTGCTTCGTCTACAAAGTCTTCAGGTAACACCTGTACATCACAGCATTTAACCTCTTCCATTTTCTTGTTCATCTTCTCCACTTCACCTGAAAAATGCAAACCCCAGTACCGTAACACAAATGAATAACAAACACAATCATATTGCCTTAATTGAGTACAGCAGCTAAAACAAATTCCATTGCATATGCTCTTTTCTTAGAAGCTGAACTATTCAGATCATCAAGAAATTCTGTGCTTTTTAACCCACTGATTACCAGATGCAGAAGATTGAACACATGCAAAAACTGGCATCAAATTTTTACTAATTTTTAAATTTCTGTTTGGATTGTGTTTCTTGCATTTTAACTGTTCAGGAAGGGAATAGCTGTTGATCCCATTGTTCATGGTACATAATGATGGACATGCAGGAAGATTTATTTAATCAACATTAGTACATATGTACCCTTTTACCACAAATATAATCAATCCTGTACCACACTTTGTACTCAGCACTGGTAATACTACCAATTTATTCTACCTGCAAAGAATCCAGAGTTATTATTATGAATGCAAAGTTTAAAAATTCATCAAAAGATTGTCTGCAGTATCATCACCAATATTTCACTGGTAAACGGCCCCAAGTTTATAGATTTGCTGATAAAGACTAAAAATCTGTCACAGCACTGTGGTGTGGCACCAATATAAATCAAATGCTGAGTTGTCTGCATC